TTGTACTTTATGGAACGTACAAACATTAATTTTTATATTAACATTTTGTTTATATGCCAAATAATGTAGTAGTTCATGTTATACACTGGACAAAAGAGAATTTTATTTTATCTAATTAAGTAAATTCAATGTTTACAATGTATCTTTTCGAAAACTGTGATAAATTGTATTTCATGCTATATTCACATGCTTTATTGTCAATACAATGAATATTGCTAACATACCGATTAATGAATGAATTAATTTATCAAATCGTTAGTTGTAAAAAATAAATCTTTCATACAAAATGCAAAAATAATCATAACGACAGTCGTTCGATTTACTTAATCGTATACTGTTTACCAAGATTTGTAGTAGATTAACAGTTGTAGAGTAGTATCATTGAATGTGTTCCTTGTATCAATCCACAGGTCGAGCCGTCACCAATAATAGTCATATTAACATATACATTGTCGACACTTACTATATGTAATAAACCAATTATCGCCATATACCTGAACAATCAGCTAAAAAACTGTGTGAGGAAAATGTTTGGGAGAGAGGTATCGGATGAGGCAGGCATCGGAAATGAAATAGGCATGGTCAGCGAACGTAATAACTAATAGCAAGGATAGGGATTAGAACTATTTAAAACCATAAATAAATATATAAACGCTCGTTAAATATTTAATTGTTACATATACGAAAAACTCATAAACAAAGCCGCAGATTGCATTTTCGTTAATATACATATATATGTAAGGAAAGTACACAGCACTTCCCCAATGCTATTTGAATTGTCCCGCCTAATTGCGACGGTCGCTAAGCGAGATATCTGTATGTGCAGTGAACATAGCAGGGAAAAAGGAATGGAAAAACACGTGGTAGAAATGAGTGCGAAATTGTAATTGTAAACCGAAACCAAAGAAATTGTAATTGTGAAAAAAAAACGAAACAAGTGAAAAATAAACATTGAATGTTCTTTCTTTGACTAACAGAGAAACGATTAAATTTAATTATTTACCACTACGCCCGTGAAAAAAAATAATACCTAATAGAAAAATTCAACATTACATATAGTATATACAACAACATTATTCAACATTACATATATATGCATATTAACGAAAATGCAATCTGTGGCTTTGTTTACATATATTCTTGTCAATATTTTCGAAATATCAAAAAACATATTTTTGAAAAATCAAAAAACATATTTTTGAAATATTAAAAAATTATTTTCGAAACATTAGAAAATTATTTTTAATGTAGAACGTAATATGAAATTGAAAAAATAAAGTGTTATGTAGAAAAAAATATTCTACCTCCAACAGGAGATGAATCTCAACGTAGTGTGTGTATCTGTGTCTTTGTGTACACATATTCTTGTCAATATTTTTGAAATATCAAAAAACATATTTTTGAAAAATCAAAAAACATATTTTTGAAATATTAAAAAATTATTTTCGAAACATTAGAAAATTATTTTTAATGTAGAACGTAATATGAAATTGAAAAAATAAAGTGTTATGTAGAAAAAAATATTCTACCTCCAACAGGAGATGAATCTCAACGTAGTGTGTGTATCTGTGTCTTTGTGTACACATATTCTTGTCAATATTTTTGAAATATCAAAAAACATATTTTTGAAAAATCAAAAAACATATTTTTGAAATATTAAAAAATTATTTTCGAAACATTAGAAAATTATTTTTAATGTAGAACGTAATATGAAATTGAAAAAATAAAGTGTTATGTAGAAAAAAATATTCTACCTCCAACAGGAGATGAATCTCAACGTAGTGTGTGTATCTGTGTCTTTGTGTACACATATTCTTGTCAATATTTTTGAAATATCAAAAAACATATTTTTGAAAAATCAAAAAACATATTCCTGAAATATTAAAAAATTATTTTTGAAACATTAGAAAATTATTTTTAATGCCAACGTAGTGTGTGTATCTGTGGCTTTGTTTACATATATTCTTGTCAATATTTTTGAAATATCAAAAAACATATTTTTGAAAAATCAAAAAACATATTTTTGAAATATTAAAAAATTATTTTTGAAACATTAGAAAATTATTTTTAATGTACAATGTAATATGAAATTGAAAAAATAAAGTGTTATGTAGAAAAAAATATTCTATCTCCAACAGGAGATGAACCCCAACGTAGTGTCTTACTTATTTCGCCAACCAAAAATGTTGAAACACGCATGAATATTTAGCTATATATTGCAATATGCACATCACAATTTTTCTTTCTCTTAAATCGCATTTTCTAGGTTAAAGAATTGCTTGTTTCAATGTAATAACATTTAAAATTACTTAATCTACACTTGCGGTAAACCCAACAAGTAGTAACTTTCTTCTCCACAGCAAAAACATGGACAAATTCGGTTTTCATTTTTTTTAACGATGACGCAGTTCTACGAAAAAGCTGAGAAAAATTGAACGCACTACTTGTGATAGTACCTTATCAGGGAATTAATATCGAGATATTTTCAAATTTTTGAATTTTTTTCCTTTCCATTTTTGATAACCACAGCTTGTGACCGAAAAATCTCAAAAAATTTTGTAATATGTGGCTTGAGATGTCTGAAATGTACTACATTTTTTTTTAAAATTAAAAGAAATTTAATTTCCCCTGTAACTACCCTCACAGACAAGTTACAGGGTTGAAATTTTGTACAGATGTGTTTTTCTTGGTCAGCTATCGAACGGTGTAATACCCATTAAGAAACCTCTAAGGGCAATTTTGACCATCTTAATCGGCTAGGTCCTTTATCAAGGAACATATAGAGACTTATGTTCGCAGAATTGTTGAGACAAAATATATAGGGAATCCTAAATTCTAGTATTTCCGAAAAAAGGGGGGTTCATGAGGTCATTTGAAGTAACTTGAAATCTTGTAGAAGAATTTTGCAGTTTTTACCTGTTGACACGCTAGCGATAAGTCTCTTAGCTGTCAAGTATGTAATTGTGCCTGAGCCCAAATAACTGGTCTCGCATGATAAATTTGGCTGGACAGTATGCACATTTTCGACAGGTAAAAGTTGTAAAATTCTTTAATAAAATTTCCAGGTGCATGGTTTGGATTTTAAATCGAACATTATATGGAGATGGAAAGCAGTATAATACAGTATCCGAATTAAAATTTGCAATTTAGATGGAAAGTATGTAAAGGATCTGTATAGATGTTTAATAAGAAAAATGATTGAAGTGGTGCAACATAAAGGCAGTCTACACATTACTAAAGCATAAACAAACTGTGTAATTTTATTTCATTTTAATGCTTTTGTTATTTCATATTCAAAGTGCCTTATCTTTTTGTCCACAAAAAATTTCATGTTTTTTGTATAAATAACAAATTGATCGAACGATTTATTTAATTTCTTCATATATTATATCAATATTAGTACCTTATTTTGTTGTGTATTCATTTTCCACGTATGTATATGTACAAAAAGATGTTTATACCGAAAAATCTTGAGTTTCCCTATTATTACTAGTGCACATATACAGGGTGACCAATTCAAATCGATCCAATCAAATATCTTCGAAACAGTAGGAGATAAGTTTAGAAAATCCATTATAACAGTCATTTCTTCTTGTGCTGGTATGTCGTGAGTATGAATATGCGCGAGATATGTTTAGCAAAGGTCTCGACTTTATCTTTGTCTTTTCTCGCCCATAATCCGTCCTCTGTGCGAATAGGAGCGTTGCGTTGGATAGGACTTTTCAATTTCTTCGTCAGTTTCCATAGCGAATAGTCTGTTTTCGAGTGTAGGGAGAGATTCCGTATATGTTGTTCAATATTGTTATGTTTTAATTTGTATAATAATTTTCTCAATTGTTTGATTAGCTTATTTAAGAATTTTTCATCATTTGGGCGTCTTCTGAGTTGCCACTTTCTCCTAGCTTTTCTTTTTCGAAGGATTTTTTGTTTTATGTACATAGGGTAATTTATTAATTCTGTAGATTTGCTTTTCCTCGTACGGTGTGGAAAGACATGCAGCGTGCTGTAGCTGCTCAGTTAGTTTTTGAACAGCTTGGTCTATTTGGCTTGGTGTCTTCAGTAAAGTTGATAAGTTTATGTGGTTGTTTAAATAGTCTCTGAATCCAGTCTGTGCGTGAATTATGGAGTAAGGGCTTTTATTTTTGGTAGGGGTTGTAGCTGCTAGCGTAAGTATTGTGCCGAAGAGGGATCCGAAGACAAATCATAGTTATCCTCTATCTTGGTAAGATTGGCTGCAATGCCTTTTGTGACCAAAAAATCGACTAGATCAAGTATTTTGGTATTGTCCGTGGGCCAGTAGTTTGCCCGAGCTAATAGGTTGATATTCGTTGGCTGTTATAGTTTTTAGTAATCATTGCCTCATAAGCCTCATTGTGGGTGCTTAGCGTTGTAATCGCCTCCAGCTACGAATTTGCCTCCTTTTTCCATCGAAAAAGTGATTGAATTGCTCTTTTTAAATCAGGTGTCTCGGTGGGCAATACAACGCCGCTATTGTTAAGGAGCCAGTCGATAATTTTATTTTAATTGCTTGTACGTGCGGTTCTTTGTATTTCTCTTTCTCTTTATGCGAAATCTTGTCTCTGATTATTATGGCGCTGACTCCACGTGCTCTACCACTACGGTGTTGAGTGTGATAGGTTTCATATTTGTAGATGTTAAAATAATCTTTATTGGTAAAGTGAGTTTCAGATACTAGTAATATGTCAATTTTTTGCGAGTTGAGGAATGCTTCGATTTCTTGTTTATGCTGGGCCAATCCGTTGGCGTTCCAGAGAGCAATTCTAAGTATACCATTCATTGTTGTTATGGATGTTTTTAATGACAGTTGTTAGCAGGTTAATAATTCATTTAGTTCCTGGTTTATGAAGAACATTGGTAGTGGTTCTTTTGTTTTCCAACTCTGTATGTTGCTTATATTGCGGATTGAAAATCCTTTGTTAGTTAGTTCTTCTTTAATTACACTTATAGGTAACGACCGATATAAATTTTTAATAACAACTCTGTACGCTCTTTCCTGATTTAACTGATATGTATGGAATTCTACTCTGATTTGTTTAAAGTAGGTTAAACTAGGTTCCTGTATGCTTTTACGGAGTGTGTGTTTATTTTAACTGTGTTATTAGCTATTGATTTACATGAGAATTTCATGCGATTTATTGTTATCTTTATACTATTTAGCATTGATGTGTAGTTTGATACATTTTGCACGAAGATTGGTGGAGTCTTTGGTTCTATCTTAGGGTTTGAAGTTTCTGTTTGCGCATCATTTATTGAATTAACAGCGTCATATTTATTAGTATGAGTAACATCCTGCATTTGTTTTTGTTGTAGATGATTTATTTTCTGGGTTCTTCTTGGTAGCTGCCAAACGACGTTGATATCGATTGCTCTGATTTCTTTGATATCCATATTAATCTTTCTTTTAATAGCAGTACATGGAGAGTTGTACGCCACGTGCGCGTACTTAGTTGTTCAGAGTAATAATATTTTGCACTATAATGATTGCTTGGTGTTTTTTTCGGAGCCTATTAAGGCTCCGAGGGCCCTAATACTGTGACACTCACTGATTCAAGCACGTCGTAGCCAAACACTGTTACTAAACAGACACGTCTTGTCTCTACTAGATTTATATGAATATAATCGATATACTCTTTATTATCGAAAACATAAAGTTTCGAGGCCTCGCATACCTCTGATACCAACTATTTATTTTTTTCATTTACTCAAGTTCTTAAGATTTTCGAAAATTTCCCAAATATAAAATACGGATTAATAAAAAAAAAATTATGGTTTTCTTATTTTAAACAAAGTTATAATTTATTTTTCGGTATTTCCTTAAAAAACGGTGACTTTAGATGGAACATTTTTTTATAATTATAATACTACAAAAGATATTCCTGGAATTGATGATGAAATTAATCGTAAATCGTCAATTGAAAGATACAATGATAGTTGATGATTCTTGAATGGAATTAGAAGGATATTTTGATGTATAATTCCGTTAATTATCTCTATCATGTTTATTACTTTATTATATTTTTGTAATGGGGCGGGCGGTAGGCTTCTACTTTAGTCATTAATCGCGACTAACGTTTGAAAGAAAATTAATTGCGATTAATGATTAACAATAATGTTTCAATCGTTGATTGCGATTAATAATTAAAACGAATCTAATCGTTAATTGTGAAATATGATGTAGAACCTGAAATGAAGCGCAATGCCTAACAAAAGGATCAGAGAAATAGAATCCTTAATCCTTAATTTTTTGCCCAACTCTGTCTGGAATTCACCGCTTTCTCTCACGAAAACAATTTTATTTCGCTATTAATATTTTTACATTTGCTTCTGCTTAGAATCAGCGCATTTAATCTACAAGAATTACTAACTATTTAAACCGTAATACATAAATATGTGCGGTGTGTTCATCCCCAGAAATTAGCATAGTTCAGTCTAGTTTCTTTTTGTTGACGCCATGCTTCGGTATCGTTCTCCAACAAAGTTTCTTCAACCCATAAACGAGCAGCAGTAATGCGATCGCGTAGAATATCACTACATCGATGGAATAATAATGAACGATGCCCATATGTCTGAAAAAGATATGCGGTTTAGTTTCATTGGCATTTCTCCATTAGAACACTGACAAAGTATCGGGTTGTTTACCTCGTCGAACTCTTTAAATGATCAGCTCCCTTGTACTCGGCAACGTGCTCCACCCACCAAATGGCTAATTTTTTCGGGCTAATCGGCAACTTTCTTAGCAGCAAGCTACGCTTCTTCGCTGCCACTCGGTATGCATTGTTGTGCAAGGTGGATACTTTCAGGATCCCCTCACGAAGATTTCCGATTGATATGCCGGCCAAATTCATCACTAGGGCGTAACCCAACTTTTCTGCAATGCAACACATACCACTGATATTCGGTTTTTTCAAACGACAGCCTGCCATCATGTAACCCTCGTATGGTGTCAGAACTAGAAAAGTTTTATCCAATGATGATCAAAAAATTAAAAATAGAGCGGCAATAAATGCTGTAAAAAGAAAAATAACAAGTTACTTTTAAATTAATTTGACCATTTTTATGTAAACTATGAGATCGAAGAGATCATACGCGTGTGAGGGAGGTAATGAACGTGTTAACCCTTTCGGTACGAGCGCCGGATATATCCGGCATCCATCTGATGACCAATATGGACGAGTGCCGAATACATCTGGCATCCATGTAAGCCATATTTCTGTAGGCCCTTTACAGAATGTTTACAGGAAACATTTAAAGAAAGATTTAGAAACGGATTAAGCACAGTCATTACTTAACGCTTAAGAAAATCTTCGTACAAAAGTGGACTGACCCTGCTTGTTGATGTTATGTGCGCATTTTCGGCGCGGCACCCCGTACAGTGGGAGTGTCACGGCGGACAATGCGCTCGTACCGAAAGGGTTAATGATAACGCTTTAACCCTTTCGCTACTACGGGTGACTATAGTCACCCGCCACAAAACGACACCCACATACGATAGGTGACTATAGTCACTTGCCACAAGATGCCACCTATACACGACGGGTGACTATAGTCACCGGTCACAACAATGGAGCCAAAAGTTAAAACAAGGGCTATCGTCTCGCTTTCCTCTGTTCGCAGACGCTATCATCTACCGAAAACTACGATCAATTGTAATAAATCTGGTCATATTAATCCACCGTTTTTGAAGCAAAAGACTTGGCCCCGAATGCTGAAGACTGCGCGCGCTTAATGTTCCTGCATTCGGCAGGGTGCTCCGTTCTACACGAGGGACTCCGCGGCGAGGCCCGCCGTAGCGAAAGGGTTAAAATTTTTCTATAGCACATATTATATCCATAGAATTTGCCCATGTTAAGTTTGTAAAGCCTTCTCCTTGGCTCTAGATCCGAAGTTACGTTTGTAACGATCTGATGTTTCTAAATATTTCGTTTATTTATATACTTTATATAATATTTATATACTTAAAAATTATTGTATTCAGTGAAGAAACATAATATTTCTTACATATAGAATGTAATATTAAATAAATACATCCAGAAATATAAATAAAATGTCAACTTTTGTTCGTCAGGTCACTATGATCCGAAGAAATACGAATGCAAAGCATTACAGATATTCTGTGGCTGCCAAGAAGGCTGCCTGAGATATTGTCGCTCAAAGTTATGATCACTAATGTTTCGTATTAGTCATAAATCCTAATGCTGTCCTAATGCTAATCCGAATGCTGCGTAAATCCTATATGCTACAGTTCAATTAATACATTGTAATACAAGTAAGTTCTAATTGTAAGCCGTCCAGGCGTGAAAGTTTATTATTCTCACCTGCTTGGGCCGCGTTCCCGTCATGGTCACAGAAGACAGGTAGTACGAGCGTCGGGGCGCCGTGATACGCGGCCTCGTGAAGAGACAGGAGGCCGCCGTGCGAGACGAAAGCTCGGAGTTTCGGATGCCCAAGTAGATCCTGTTGTGGCCACCATGCCGCTGTTCTGACGTTCGACGGCAGATCTTTGATCTTCTCGCCCTCCCATTTCCATACGATGTTGTACGGGAGGGTTGCAAAGGCTGTGACGAATATGTGACGTAACGCCTCCGGCATACCGGACGCGCGAACCGACGAGCCCATGGAGACGAAAATGAAACCTACGGTCATGTATCAGTTAACATCGTTATATTGATATCTCTCTGAGAATGTCGTTCAATCTTTGCCGAATTCTAAACAGATTGGAGGGAGTATCTAAGACGTAGGGCACCTGGATAGACGGATTAAAATGGCTTTCTAAATGGCTTTCTGAATAATACCAAATCGACAGAAGAAACAAATAAGAACCAACTTATTGTTTCCACTATAAATTGCCTAATTTGCGAGGGAATCTAATGTAAACGTATAATGGGCTATTATCGATCTCCAAACTTACTAAAAGACTAATTCATTTTATATCGTCACTGCCACAGATATACACTTTCAGTTTGTTCTTTGTTCGTGCAGTAGGGGTACGAAGTCGGAACAAACTTACATCGATAAATCCGCATGTTCCGCGTTAAAAGTATAATAGAAGCTATCTATATTAATAAAGCATACGCGGCTCGACCCAACACCGTCCCTACCATACAATAGATTCCGAAAATTATCAAACGACCCCATCTGTACTGCAAGCGTCTTTCCACAAACAAATAAGCGACCGTAGCAATAGTATCTAATTATCCGAAAAGCCGTTATTTCCTGCCTGTAATATTTCCTTCAACGCTGCCTGCATCTGGTCGCCAAAATTCTCTCACCGTCACGTATTCCCTTTACCTTCTGCACGACACCAATTACCCAAGGCAATATCTTTTTCCCCAGTCTTATTACCTGCGACGGTCAACCTTCGAGACACGCGGATTCTTCGCGAGATTCACTCGCAGGTACGATTCGTACCTGCAAGCGACTGTTAGTTCGGGGCGGTCACCTTTTCCCTTGCTCACAATTTTTTAACCAATCGCTCAAAACGACCGCTTCCCTTTCTAGATCCGGAAAACTTGAAAAAAAAACATTGAATCCACGCGCTAGATACCTCAAAAATGTTCATAAAATTAAAATATTTCATTCGATTAAACAAAAATTATAAAGCAAACTTATATGGCATCGATTACTTCTTCAGCATTCGTACCTCTTGCAAATCTTAATAAAATTAAGCAATCATTTTTAATTTTTCATTGATCATCCATTCGGTCGTCGATCGACTGAATTTAAAGCGGGGAGATCTCCCCGTTCGGTTGGCTAAGTGTTAAAAGGCAAAACAGACAACGTACAGACAGATACTAACCAGACACCAACGCGTAAAGACTTCGGTCAAGACTCCGTCGTTAGTCTCACCATCAACTCAATTCATTCTAAGCCAAGTACAGTTAGTCAAGCCTAGCGTTAAAAATTGTTATGTTATGTTAAAATATAGCGTTATTGATATCAGCCAGTGTTAAAACCATTCTTTATCAACCTACCATCCGTATCACTCGAAAGAGTCATAGGGAATCGCGCAGACTCGGTGTCATACACGATTGAACCGGAGACTTACGACCTCCGTAGATCTAACAGTTCGCTGTTCGATCTCACCGGGGAAACGTGAATAAACACCGCAGCAACAAGATTATCGGTGAGCCGACGCACCTCTTTGCAAGAAGTTCTCCAAGTCGGTGCTAAGCTGGATGGCAGGATTGCAATGGAGGCAGGCGACGTTGACGACGTTCGCCAGGTAAGGCAGGGAATCGGCGACGCTGTAGTGACTGTTCTGTAACGTTAGTGGCACCTCGGCAGTTAGGTCACGTACGTCGGGCAACTGTTCCCCTGTAAAGAGGAAACAGTTCTGACAGTGAGCGTCGAACAGAATCGATCTGGCTGATTACTCGTCCAGTTATGTACCCAGGTATCTTCGTAGAATTGGTTGGATGTAGCCGGTGGTCATGATCCAATGCATGATCTGGAGGGTAACGAGGCAGGCGGCGTTCAATAATCTCTGGAAGAAACTCATGTCCTGCGTGATAGGTTTCCCGAAATAGGGTGTTATCGACCAAGGCGATGGATTACCTTGCCGCCCTATTGAGCCGCTATACAAGGCGACCTGCGTCAGAGCATTAATTTGATTTGAATGCCCAATAATTCTTTCTTCAGTAAATTGTCTTCATCAACCCCTTCGTTACGAGCGCCGGCTGTAGCCGGCATCCACGCGATGACTCCTTCAAGCTTTCAGTGGCTAATATGCAGAGCGAACTGCCGTAACGAAAGGGTTAAACGACTAATGACACAGATTTAATTGTAATACGATACAGCCCCACCGCAAGACATCTCCCCTAAGAGCAAATCGTTCTCTTTGGTTTCGTCGGGATTAAGTTATCGCGGCGGGATCTTTTTAACCCCTTGCACTATGATTTCATTTGCAGCTGCCTTGATCAGCTGTTCTTTGTCCTCAATCATTACCCTGATAGAACGAGACAATTTTTGTACTTTGTATGTCTTCGTTTACTTTGGATCCTAGATTTTAATAACAGAACAATCAAATTTTATTTTCATTCAGAAGAGACGAAGAATGTTTGCATTTAATAGATTGTGTATAAAATCTTCATCACGAGTCTGACTCGTTGTTATAGTCCAAAGGGTTAAAGATGTAATTGCAGTTGATGGTTACGTCAAGGTTATCGATAATTGGATGTCGAATTAAAAAGTTCCGAATATTCCTCGTCCTTAACGGAAGAAAAGAAAAGTCTTGTAGACTAAGGGGAAACCGACAAAAATTATATCAGAGATTAAACGATAATTTCCATTGCCATCTGCATTGTACGTGACGATTTTGTAACTTCCAGTTCATTATGTATTTACACTACTGTCAACGAGTTATGAATATAGCACCAGCTTTACTTTATTTTTGTATCCATAAAATTACGACAAGATTTTCCGTATTTGGAGGATTTGATATCTTTTTTTATGATATAATAGAATTCTCACTACTCCCCCATTCTATATTTGCACGTAAAAACTATACTGTGAGCATGCTAGTTGTTTTGAATAAGTTATCAGGGTTTAGAAACAGTTGTCATAGAATAGTTAAATAGAAAAAAATAGAAAAAATAATCAGGTGGCCTATTTTAGGTGAAGTTTTTAATTTGCCACAAAATTCAGTTAGAAATCAAACATTGTAACTAGCAATCTAAATATGACAAAAAATTTAACTATTAATCGATTATGAAACTTAAATAGAGTTTCTTCAGTAAGTGTCAAATCATGTGAATCTTGATTTTTTCGTGATTAAATTTTAGTAAACACATAAAAAATGATTTTCCGAGAAAATGATTTCGTTAATATAATTCTGCAGCACTTATTGTGCTGGCGTAAACATTCTCCGTCATTATGACAATATGGGATTACCGTATTCAGCATGATCGTAGGTACATTCTCCCCATAAAGGACTCCAAGAAGACACTCAGGAAAAGCACCATCCACCACCGCGACGTCCCATCTCATACGGGGATTGCCTTCAGGCTTTCTCAGCCAAGAAACGGATGTTTTGTCTCGAAGAAGAGCCTCGCAGGCTTCCCAAGCGTATCGCATTGCGTCCCAAGGCGAGATCGGTAATTCGTCGCGAAATCTAGCTCCTACCAGGTCCCATTCCGACGTGTAGTTACCAACGTAGGCCTGTCGATAACCAGTTTATTCGCTATCTATCTACAAACTCGATTATCCACAACTCACACTTTCAGTTACCTATTAGAAATGAAACTCAACCTACGATTAACATCGTGACATAACTTGAACAACATATATTATATTTTGCAGGAGTAAATTATTTTGTTAATTTATACGAACAAGAAGAACGATGATCATAAAACAGATTTCAGCATACATTTGCTCACAATCACAATGCGGACTCAATTTATGATAGAATGAATTTGGAAAATGAAATCTTTGAAGAAAATTTAGAAAAATATTTATATATTTAGAAATATTTATATACATAATTTTTAGAAAAATACTAGTATATATGAAGATTTAAAAGAATATATTTATTAACACAGGTAACATACAAATAAAATATTATTTTATCAACTGAAGGTTTTGACAATAATGGGTTCTTGATTAAAAAAATGTTGGGGGCTCACGGTGATGGGTTTCTGAGTTCTCCATTTATAGAATATGGCACAGAAACTAAAAGAACAAAATAAACCGATCCCTAATAACAAACTTAAGAAGATGATCAATCCGCATTTTATAAGTGGTCAGAGTGTGTCTCCGCATTATTTTTACAATGATAATTCTTTGGGGTGCATCTCCTTCGTCGCAAGGATGCGATATACATATTTTGTCATAGATATTTCTGCCTAACACTTTACTTATCGGAAAACCAATGTGCCTCTAAAGTTCTGTGTTACATAAGAAAGGAACTAGTAACTTTAAATAATCATTTTGACGAGAACTATTAGATCCGACCCGGTTTCTGGTTTCGGTCCTTACTCGCTGAGGACGTGTTTAAAGATCATATCAACTGGCATAGTTCAAATCTGAAACTTTTACAGGTTATTCCACATGCTACTAACGCTTCTCACTTTACTTTACTTACTTTTCATGTTACTTTATCGCGAACAAGATGAAAAATTTATCATCAAGAACCCAATACATCTCATTCTTGTTTCACTCCACTGTGAGCACTTTAATCGCCTAAAGTTTACGATATTCGATGTTGAAACGCGTCTTTATTACAATCGAGGTAATATAAATAACCAGTTAGTTAAACCGGTGTGTGTGTATTTATACACAACTTAAAAATCAAAATATAAGAAATCCGTTAAATTTTGCAACGTTCACAGAAGAGTGCTTTCTTACGATTAGTCTCAAACCGGTTTACTTTACGTACCGTTTCGTAATATCGAGCTAGTAATTAAAGATCAAGTCGAATACTAATCACCTTGAAAATGGGTGGCACAAACTCCTGCAGTCCGTTGTTAGCGGCTGGTCCAGGAAACGCGCTGACCAAGGTCACGTTGTGACCCCGGGCCTTGAGACTGGTCCCGAGTGCGATGAAAGGCACGGTGTGCGATTTCGTGCCGCCCATGGTGGCCATTAAAATGTTGTATCCCCTAACTGTTTCGCAGAGCCAGGCGAGCATCATCAGAACGAGTACTCGGTCGATCATGGTTTCGCTTGAATCCTCGTTGCTCGTCGAAGGAAAAGAGAAGGTTTCGCGAAAGTTCGCCAATCTCGTAGCGGGAGGACGAGTAAATAACGGCAGTTTGTTATCAAGGAACTGTTTGAACGTCAAACACGCTTGAAATCTTTGGGTTCTAGTTCCGTTTGTTTTCGTCGTCGTAATACCTTTCTAGTTTTCTGTACCGGCGCAGATTCCTATTGATTCAATTATTTCGCCCTAAGTATCCGTTTCGGAGACTGTAGAGCACTACAGCGAGCGGAATTTAACGAGTTCGCGAAACGACGGATCTGCTTTTCGCTGGGCTCTCGTAACGCTGCGCGCAGATATGGAGACCGTCCGGCCTTCAAGACGGATGGAAAAGAAACCGGGGATCCATTATCATGGAAACGATCGGCTGAATAATGCCCATCGATCACCAGTCAACGGTCACGCTCGTCCTTTCGCGTTCGGCGTCTCGGATCGGTGTTGTTTTCGAACTCCAGGAATCCCGAATAACTAAGCGCTGGTCATCTTTTCAGGTTCTTCGGGCGACAGACGCTTCGCTATTGCTATTCTTCTTTGACATCTGTAACTTACGTTGGTTGTGTACCGTGAAATATTGAGCGCTAGGGTAAACAAAAGGTGTATGGTGGGTGGAATTCGCGTAACCGCGCGGCAATGATTACAAATTGACTTTTTAAAAAAAAAAAACCGACCCAAAAAAATCAATTTTTTTATCTAAGAAAATACATATTTGGACCTTAATTTCAATAAATATTTAAAAAAAATGCAAAAATTACTAAAAATTCAATAAAAATAGTGGATAAATAATTATAGTGAATATTGAATCGCATTGCAGATCGAATTTTGTACCCATCGTACTGTTTTTCATATATTCGAATCTGAACATTTTAGCGACATAAGTTGCGACGCCGACCGTATATATACGGGTCTGCACATTTTGGCCGGTTTTGCACGCCCGTGTTAATACGTTTCTGCGCGTTAAGGGGTTAAGGAAAAGTAAAGGACAAACGGGCGTCGTCTGCCAATCACAGTCACTCGTTGAAATGTTCGCGAATCTTTTAAAACAGATTAACTGAACGAATAAACGAGGGACTAGTTTATTAGACAATGTCTGACCAAATTTTTGCAANACTCCTGCAGTCCGTTGTTAGCGGCTGGTCCAGGAAACGCGCTGACCAAGGTCACGTTGTGACCCCGGGCCTTGAGACTGGTCCCGAGTGCGATGAAAGGCACGGTGTGCGATTTCGTGCCGCCCATGGTGGCCATTAAAATGTTGTATCCCCTAACTGTTTCGCAGAGCCAGGCGAGCATCATCAGAACGAGTACTCGGTCGATCATGGTTTCGCTTGAATCCTCGTTGCTCGTCGAAGGAAAAGAGAAGGTTTCGCGAAAGTTCGCCAATCTCGTAGCGGGAGGACGAGTAAATAACGGCAGTTTGTTATCAAGGAACTGTTTGAACGTCAAACACGCTTGAAATCTTTGGGTTCTAGTTCCGTTTGTTTTCGTCGTCGTAATACCTTTCTAGTTTTCTGTACCGGCGCAGATTCCTATTGATTCAATTATTTCGCCCTAAGTATCCGTTTCGGAGACTGTAGAGCACTACAGCGAGCGGAATTTAACGAGTTCGCGAAACGACGGATCTGCTTTTCGCTGGGCTCTCGTAACGCTGCGCGCAGATATGGAGACCGTCCGGCCTTCAAGACGGATGGAAAAGAAACCGGGGATCCATTATCATGGAAACGATCGGCTGAATAATGCCCATCGATCACCAGTCAACGGTCACGCTCGTCCTTTCGCGTTCGGCGTCTCGGATCGGTGTTGTTTTCGAACTCCAGGAATCCCGAATAACTAAGCGCTGGTCATCTTTTCAGGTTCTTCGGGCGACAGACGCTTCGCTATTGCTATTCTTCTTTGACATCTGTAACTTACGTTGGTTGTGTACCGTGAAATATTGAGCGCTAGGGTAAACAAAAGGTGTATGGTGGGTGGAATTCGCGTAACCGCGCGGCAATGATTACAAATTGACTTTTTAAAAAAAAAAAACCGACCCAAAAAAATCAATTTTTTTATCTAAGAAAATACATATTTGGACCTTAATTTCAATAAATATTTAAAAAAAATGCAAAAATTACTAAAAATTCAATAAAAATAGTGGATAAATAATTATAGTGAATATTGAATCGCATTGCAGATCGAATTTTGTACCCATCGTACTGTTTTTCATATATTCGAATCTGAACATTTTAGCGACATAAGTTGCGACGCCGACCGTATATATACGGGTCTGCACATTTTGGCCGGTTTTGCACGCCCGTGTTAATACGTTTCTGCGCGTTAAGGGGTTAAGGAAAAGTAAAGGACAAACGGGCGTCGTCTGCCAATCACAGTCACTCGTTGAAATGTTCGCGAATCTTTTAAAACAGATTAACTGAACGAATAAACGAGGGACTAGTTTATTAGACAATGTCTGACCAAATTTTTGCAAAAATTGTGACTGGTTCGACTAACAAAGAGAAAGATGCTTTTTAACTTTCTTATGTGAGCCTAGAACGAAAATTCAAACAATGTACTTTGTAGGTCTCTGTAACTCTTACACGGATTTTGAAAATCTCATCGAAATCGGTTCCTAGTTCTTTTTTCATTCGATATTGAAAGGAGTTATGTAATTAGCTATTGCACATTGTACAAAGTTATTACGAGAGTTCGTGTTCTGTGTCTTGTGTTTTATGAACATTGATAAATACGTATGTATATTACATTTCTATATGCTTCTCGAAATACGATGAAACATCAATATATTGCTTTTGAAATCGGTTTTGGCTATCATTGTTTTCTGCAAAATTACGTCGTTGTAGTAGAAAATAAACTTTGGCTTATAACATAGTGTGCGAACTATATGCAATGCGAATATTTCGACGTCTGCTCGGCAAAGATATCTGTACCGATTCTACTATTCAGTCTTGTATGAATAAACTGCAGTTGTTTTCCTACGGTATCTTATTTCCACCTATGTCACCCTTTCTTAAACCATGAAAGTAACAACTAGGTCATTCGGTCTTTAATTTAAATTCAAATTGAATTTAAATGAAGAAAAAATGACTTTTTTCTATTTTTTGGTTAACGATAATTTTGTACACTGATTACATATTTCTATAGCGATTTTCGAGAAAATAATTGGAAATATTTAAACTGGTATAATATCGAAACAAAAAATTATAGAACCATAAAGATCAAAACAGGTAAGGCACGGACTGTGCTCGGTCTGTGCAAATCCTACCGTGTTTATATCTCTTTATCCCTTGTCCCCTGTCACGAAATCGCTTACCCCAGTATCCCTTCGCTCCTCTATTATCCAAACCTTGGTTTGCTTGCAATTGCGTGCACGGCGCAAAGGTGGCAAAGAGATTTTGCCTTGCCCCATCCGTTTTCTAGCAACACTGCTCTGCGCTCTTGGACTGCTCGTGTCAGACGCTGATTCTATTGCTTTGTTTGCGACGCACAATTCGAAACGAAAATCATAACTTTTTCGACCCGACACTTCTTTAAGGGGAATACATAAATGCATCAATTGATGTAGAAAAAAAAATAGTTTTATAAAAAAAAAAATTAAAGTGACTAGGTCTTTTTGTTGAATACAAATCGTTTTGATCATTTTCACTCTTGCGATTTCTTGTCTACTTGTTACTGAATAACTTTTGTTCGAAACATTTTTTTATTGGTTTAGTAGAAATGTTCAAAAAATCAGAGAGACAAAAATAATAATTTTGCATTTATTCAAAATTTGTGCTTTATTTTTTTAAAACTGTGTTTATGGTAGTGTTTGTAGTAGTGTTTGTAGTTTGTAGTTTGTAGTTTGTGGTTCGTGGTTCGTAGTTTATACAGGGCGTCCCATTTGAAGTAACGCACTCAATTGTCACCTAAACCATAGCAAAATCACGGAGTTACGTTTTATCATTTTTTTAAACTCAAGTTAAAGTTGACAAATACTTAATATAAAAAATTGGGAAAAATAGTTAATATTGCAAGTTACAAAAATGAAATCAATCGGACAAATATTCAGCAAATGGCATGCGTTTAAAAATATGAACCGGAAATTTCCATTTTCTGGCAGGATTTTTTACGATAAACGAGGTAAATTAGTAAAAAACTGTGAATAGCGTTAAAATCTGCGTATCTTCATGAGTATTTTAAACTACAATAAGCCATAAATTCTAGATATAAGTTTTTTTACTTTTGTCCATACATATTGCACGACGAGAAATTTCAAGAATTTTCATTCGGCAAGCATGAATGGCATCAGAGCTAAAGATTAAAATCTGTTCATATAATGGCATTCTCCTATTCTCACATTTTTAAAACACTACTGATTCTCGCGATCGACTGAACGCTTTCATATTTTTCAGTATTCCTACACCTCATACACAGTAAATTCGACTTCTCGCCTCCGGCTTCAATTTCCGTTGGCATTCACACATATCTGCCCCGCTATTTGAACAAGCTCGACCAGTTATTATTTTATTATTTGCATTCTTTTAGCGGATGAATTTCAATCGTATTGGAAACGTTGTAGCAAATATCCGTATTATGTTCTCTGAAGTAAACAAGTTTGTTTATCGTATTATGCATCGGTAAAATGATGTTACAATTAAGTGTAATACGAATCAAATTATTAATTAACTACATAACAATTTTGGGGAACACGATTTAGGAAATCCCGCTTCAAACGCTTTGTATTTGTTACTATTGTCCGAAAAAATCATTTCGTTTCGCGATTAAATTAGAAATTAACAAAACACATTTGTAAGTTTTCTTGACACTGCATGATGTAGTTATTAGCTATTCAACGATGCATTAATCAAAGATACGTTAAAACGACCGCATTTGTAATTATTAGACTGTGGATTTTATGAAAAATTTAAGAATATTTCTACATTTTTCTCAATTTAATACAATTAATAATTATTAATTTTAATTTAATTTGTCGTTTTTTCAATTTAACGTTTAATTTTGCATGGAGATCCGCAATCTAATAATTATTTTCATCCGGCAACATCGTACAAGAGAATGGAACGAATTCTTCCAATTATCCAGTATTTTAGCCTTCAAAATTATTCATTATTATTAATTAAGCTAATTATATATTATGTGAAGAAAGGACTCAAAATTTGTAAATGTAACACAAATTACTTATTTAATTAATTACTCTTCAAAATAAGACTCATCCGAGGCAATACACATATGTTAACGCTTCTCCCAGTCTTTAAAACATTTTTCAAACGCTGAAGAAAGTAGGTACAGTAATTTCACCCTAATTCGCGTACAGATTGCGCACAAAAAAAATGGACAGTTTGGAAAGAAACCGCATGGCTTGAATAATCTTATCTCCTCTTCCCAAATTGTTCATTTTTGTATGCAATCTCAGTGCGAATTAGGGAGAAATTACACTATAATTTTGAACTCCATCTGCGAATTCTCTCTTATGGCTTCAATCGACTCAAAATCCCTTCCCGAAGTGGTAATATGGTTTACGAAATAGGATCTGGTGCACACGGTACCTGATCGATAACGTCTGTTGAGATTTTGATCAT